TTTAGAAAACTTTTAAGAAATGAGAAAAGGATCCTGATCATGTGGATCTTATTTGAAAATTTTTCTTCAACTTTTTTTTTTCCGAAGTGTTTCAAGCCATATGCTTGACCCACAATCTTTGATTTTAAAAACGGGGTGAATGGAGCTACTTTTTTGAATACCGAGGCTGAATTTGTCTTGCAACTAGTCAAAACCTAAATTTACAGAAGTTCTCACAGTGAACGATTGCTAATGATTCAAACAAAAATTGTCTCTTCCTGTGACCTTTCTGAAACAATGATCAGGCTAACTCCTTTTAGATTTGTGTGCTTCATTTAAAACCGAAAAGTTATGTGTGATACTTCAGTTATTGTGGACATTACCAGGACAGAGGAAGAGAATTTGGTTGGTCCCATCCACCAGAGAATCTAGGAGTATGCATCTGTACCGACTTTGTCTGAAATTTGCACATGAACAAAAATTTATGTGTTTTTAGAGGCTCATTACCTTTGAAATGAGAGAAGATGGAATTGAGATGAAGCAGAAGGATAGCATAAAGTGAGGAGAGCACATGACTTAACTTCATTTCTATCATTACAACTGTTTCTGAAAAACATGCTAGAGTCTTTTCAACACGTCACCTAGTATTATGTAATATAATATTAAGGAAATATCTTTATTAATGTAAAGTAAATCCCTAAGCATTTTTCTTTGATAAAATGTTCCTTCTTGCCTTGGCCATTCCACTGAGTCTCCACCTTAAAACAAAACACACTAAGAGCTAAAAGGAATGAGTGTCTTTGCTCAAAATCGGTGATGTATGTGCTATTGTGTGCATGGCAAAAAGTGTGCATCTCATTGTCTTACATTGCTATGAATAGAAATTGCGGAATTATCAAGAAATCTGTTCACCAGATCGATAGTTTTTTCTTGCTTTTGTTTGTTTAACCTCTGAAAGATGATTGCCTTTAGGATAATGGAGTAGGATACTCAGCGGATTTTGGAAAGAACCGAATGTCGTTTTCCTTTAGGGATAATAAAGCGCCATTGAATGTAGGTGCGCAGTTAAAAATTTCCATCTGCTTTGCAAATGCCAAGTGCACTTGTGGCCTTTCACAGTGTTAATGTTGAGAAAAATAGTAATAAATAGCCTGTCAGGCAGTTCTACCTATAGTTAATCCCTTGGTATTTGGCACTTTTTTAGAAAGGGTCTGAACCAGAATGGACTGTCTTTCTGAAATACAGCCCAGAAACAGGTGCTAGTTATTCACATAATATCAGATTCAGTGCACTGTTGAATGCATATTTAATCCTTATTATATCTCAGTTGTTGATAAATTTCAGTTTGGTTAGATTGAAAGTAATTTTCTGTTCTTTTCAGACAAAAAATATTCACAGTTGCCTGAAATCACCGAAGTGTTGAAGTTAGAGGTTGCCCAATATTTTATCTGTTGAAAGTTCCCACCCAGATTGAAAACTACAGTGCTGACTTAGCTTCAGTGATCCTCAACCTCCACAGATGTCTGCTTTTTCCCTCCTTCACTGTGTAGAAAGATGCTGGAGGATGCTCTAAGAGCATTCCAAGGGTCATTCTTAGCCCACCGGTGGCTTAGAGTCTCATAAATTCTCTATCCATGTTATGGAGAGGTATTGCAAAGATCTGCTGAGATTAATTCACTTAGATTATATAAATCTGGTAGTATTTGCTGACTCTAGTTGTCTCACACAAGATTGAGGCTTTTTTTTTGTGTACGTTGGGGTCAGGTGCCAGGTATAAATGAACTATGAACGTGTAGCAATTTTGTAGTTAAGGCAAAGGCAGAAAAACCTGTCCAGGCAGAAAAATCAGCCAGACAGTGTAAGACTGTTTGCTTAGCTCGTGACTAGAAGTTCAGACTGGATGATAAGTGTTCAGTTCAGTCCCTGAGTCAGTCCTTTCTGAAAGATAACTGATTTAGAATGTTTGTAATTGAGGGGCTTGGTGTAATAACTTTGCTTCATTGATTGAGGAAAGGAAGCCATAAACAAGCTGCAGATCTCTGATACAGGTAGATATATGGGTTTTTTTGATAGATGTATCTTGAAGTCTGAATATAATAAATTTGCCAGGCCTGCATTACAAATTTAAACTTGTTTCTCAGAAGAAAAGCAATTCTCTCTACTGGTTGTAGAGACAACATTTTGTTGTCTAACTGATGTTCTGTGTTAGAAAAATGCAACCATTCAGTATTGTACCAGCCCAAATGAACTCCTGTGGCACACACTACTAAATCTGTGTGCTAATATTAAATTTGGTGATTGATACCTGAGGTACACAAAAACAGTTTTGCTGCAATGTTGCAGCCTGGATTAAAGTGACAGAACGGGGACATTCTTGCTTATGTCTGCTGTTCTGTCTCCCTTGCAACTAGTTTTTTTTCAGTGAGATTCAAGATTTTGGTGTGGTAACATACCAGCATCTTGTTGCCATGTTTTCTCTTGCCTGTACCACTGGGACTTGGACTGTAAGCTGCCTTTTCCAGTAGGCTGGTTGTAAAGGGTATGAAGTTTCTTTCTTCTTGCTGAGCTTCTTTAAGGTACTCAGTTTCATGCTGGGGATTAACACTGAAAGAGTGATTCCCTGAATGATTTGTAAGTGATATTGAGGGAAACATGCAATACATAAAGTTTATTTACTAAAATAAATAATATGAAAAAGGATGAAGAGCCTTCCTCGAGCTCTGGGATCGCTGTCATATTTTTTTTTTTACTAGCAAGTGACAGCTTAAAATTATAAAAATCCAAAGCCAAAAGCGTTAATAATTTGCTGCCATTTTTAAAGAAATGTATTTCTTTCTTGAGATCATGCAATGGTATGATTTCAAGCTGTTAGATATGTAAGGAAGCACATAGGCATATATATTTTCAAAAACCTCTTTAGTCATCTTTTTATCTCTGTGGGTCCCTAACACCTTCAAAAATCTTCAAGTCTTCAGCAAGTTTTTTCCAGGATAATACTGTCTCCAAAATGTCTATTAAGTTGAAAATCCAGAATAATAAACACATTGATAACATGTTATAAACCCTGGCTCAGGGATGCATTTAAGCACATTGTTTGTTCATCTACCACACCATTGCTATTGGAGTGCTAACATGGTGGTAAAGTAGTCACTTAAAAGAAGTTTACCATTGTAGCAAAGGAACAACTGCCCTCAAAAGACCTTTTCATTTGCTGATGTTCATTTACTGGGTGTGAGAAAGTTTATCTCCACTTCCAGCTGTTTGGCTCAGTTTTAATTTTTATGAGATCCTGTCCTGGATTTTCTATTTTCTTAAATGCTTGATTGTGACGACTGAGTTGAAGATCAGACTGTGAATATTTTTTTAAGTACTTAACAATCCTCTGTGAGGGCTGTCTCCAGGTTATTCAACTGCATTTTATCTGTTCACGTGCCTCTACTAGAACTGAATTTGTATTTCCTTCTTTGTTCAGATTGTACTGGATTTGTAACTTTGGTAGCAGCATTGTGGATCCTAGCACACTGTCAAAGCTGTGCCACCTCAGTGAGAGAGGTTCTGCTAGGTTTACTTTTAGTCCTGCCTAAGAACATGAGTAATAGATGACTGCGAAATAAACAGGCTGTGCAACCAGCTCTACCTGTAACACAGAAGGCATTTTCTATCAGCAAATATCCTGTATTTGTGAATCATTGAAAATCCAAAGGAAATTGGGTCCTGATGGGATGCACCCGCGGGTGCTGAGGGAGCTGGCGGATGTCATTGCCCACCATCATCTTTGCTAAATCATGGGGAACGGGAGAGGTGCCTGGGGACTGGAGGAAAGCAAATGTCACTCCGGTCTTCAAAAAGGGCAAGAAGGAAGACCCAGGTAACTATAGACCGGCCAGCCTCACCTCCGTCCCCGGAAAGATAATGGAACGACTTATCCTTGGTGCTGTCTCTAGGCATATCAAGGATAAGACAGTCATTAGGGGCAGTCAACATGGCTTCACTAAGGGGAAGTCGTGCTTGACAAACCTGATAGCCTTTTATGAGGACATCACCTAGTGGGTGGATGATGGTAGAGCAGTGGATGTGGTCTATCTTGACTTCAGTAAAGCATTTGACACAGTTTCCCACAGCATCCTCACAGCTAAACTGAGGAAGTGTGGTCTGGATGATCGGGTAGTGAGGTGGATTGTGAACTGGCTGAATGATAGAAGCCAGAGAGTAGTGGTCAATGGGACAGAGTCCAGCTGGATGCCTGCATCCAGTGGAGTCCCTCAAGTGTTGGTACTGGGACCTGTATTGTTCAACATATTCATCAATGACTTGGATGAGGGAATAGAGTGCATGGTCAGCAAGTTTGCTGATGACACTAAAC